AAAAAAAAAAAAAAAAAAAAAAAAAAAAAAAAGAAGTAAAAACTAATAATTTATATGTTGAAAATTCAAATTAAAAATTTTTTTTCTTTTAAAAAAAAGCGAGAAAACCTCTCTAGACGAATGTTCGTCGACACAGGTATATCTCAGCAAAATTTGCTAAATAGGACCTCTTCCGACGAAATTCACCTTTGCCGACGAACATTCGTCGGGAGAGATCTAATCCTGCAAATTTCGCTGGGATAGACCTGTGCCGAAGAGTAGTCATCGGGATAGGTTTAAAAAATTGGCCTAGGCGGCCTGGGCGGGTCAGGGTGGCGCTAGGAGGGTCTCGGCTGCACTAGGAAGGTCTAGGCGGCGCTAGGCAGCGCTAAGTGGCGCTAAGCGGGTCTGGGTGCCAAGGTGGGTCTGGTTCTTTAGGGTTTAGGGTCTGTGTGCCAGGGTAGGTCTGTCGCATTTTTCCCAGGTACGTGTACCATTTTCTTCATTGAAGCCGATATTTCGAGCAAGAACTGTATCAGATGCACTGCCTTTTGACCCCAGCAATATTGTGTCATTGCAGACACATTTCTGCAGCCACTTTCTTTCAGTCTATTTCTTTCACTTCATTTTCTTTTAGTCTATTGATGGGATTCAAAATTATGGCAGCTCATGTTTAGCAAGTTTAAACTTCTTTGGAAATTGGGTCTGCAGATTTTTCTTCCTTCTCTTCTTCCCTCTATAAATTAAAGTGGCTTTGCTTCTGCTGAGCCACAGGCTGTTTCTGGGTTCTGCAGATTGTCCTTCTTTGACTGTAAGTTGCTATCTGATATCTTTATTACATTTTGTTTTGATTATGAGTTACTTAAGTTCAGTATGTTGAAAGAATGGGGTTGATTTGTTGTGTTTTTCTCATCATATGATTGATTTACTCATCTGGGTTCTTATTGTTATAAACTGATTGTGTCAAAGTTTCGTCCTTTTGAGTAGCATCACCTTAATAGTTTTGTTGCATAATTCAGGATTCGAAGAATTAATGGGTGATGTCTATATTGAAAATGAAATATCTGAAATGCCTCTCGCAGCGAGTACTTTTCAACTTTACGATTGTGCATTATTGCAAATTATCTCTACTTTTTCTGTATGTTTGTTGTATCTCTTCTCTATTGTAACTTTCTTATTCTTGATCAAGATTAGCTAAGAAATTATAATTAGCTTATTGATTTTTTTATTTCTTTTTTATGTTATCCCACATAAGGAATAAGGTTATGGGGATTTGAAGTTTCAATTTGGCATCTTTAGTTTTGTCAGTTTGATTCACACCTTGTGCTTAAAGATCTAATATAGGTCCTTGTATAGTCTGGGATTCTACTCATCAATGGATGACATTTTCACCCGTCTATTTACACTGGCTAGTTATATAAGTCGTCGATTTATTCAAGTTATAGGTGAGGTTCTTTCTACTATTCTTACATGTATGCACACTCATGCATCTTCTTATAATGTTATGGATGGATTTGGAAATGATGTTATTGCAGAGGATCTTGCGGTCAGAGATGCTGATAGATACTCGGATGATTTGCTGGTCATTTCTGCTGGACAGCATTTAAGATCATTGAGAAACGGCATTTGTAAATCATTTGCTGAAGGTTGTTCATCATCTTCAAAACCTTGTAACCCTGAAACCTGTGAAAGAAGATCCTCAGAGCCTACGGAAGATACAAGATCTGAAATTGTAGAAACCAATTTCAATTATACAGATGTCCCCTTCATTTTTAAAGGGTAGTACCGTTTTTTGCTATTAGCGTTCTTCAATATCAATCTTTGAAGACTTGAGTACGCATTAAAAAACTGAGGTCAGGCAACTAATCTAGTTTTCATGAGAAAACATCATGAGCCCATCTACTTTTAAGTGAACTGAATGATTAATTGTAATATTTAATCTTTTTCACCTCCTTCCCTTTCTAATTACAAGTGTTTATCGGAATAGTATGACTTACTGTAATCTCAAATCTCAATCAAGTCATCTCCATCGTTAGATTGGTGATGTTGCTTCATCTTGATGTAGGTTGACACTACCATTACACGGTTTACAATTTGCTTGGAGATTGGCAATTTCTTGTTGGAGAAGTTCTGTCGTGTACGTTGGATGTGCTCATCTTCGAATTTGTAGGTAAAAGAAGTATATTTCAATTATGCAAACTGATGGACTCGTATTCCATAGAGTCTATGAATAGTTTCTTTTAGTTTTAGTTCAGATTGGATTCTGTTTTACTCAGCGCAAATAATTCATTGCTTTTAATTACAAGTCATTGTTTCATTCTTTTAATTACAGGCATCTCGAGTACAGAAAACATTGCAAGTTTCATCTGACAATATTGGATGGTTGCCGGGCACTCCTGGCATGCCTGGTGTGGAGGATGGTACAGCACTTTAATTATAAGTTGTATTGATCAAATCCATTCACGCATCCTAAACCAGACAAAACTGATTAATCAAATATTCTCCCTGATTTAGATGAGAGTGCTCAATGGAATCAAATTGTTACAACTTACAACCATTTTCACTTATCATTCTTTTTAAGTTGGGAATGCTGTTGAAATCTAAGCCCGTGTACATCGTGAGAGAGAGAGAGAGAGAGAGAGAGAGAGAGAGAGCATTAAGAATGGAACGTTTAATATAAATTGCTTGGCCTGAAAAGGCATTCAGGAAATTAGTCCTTGTATTAGTGAATATACAAAAAAAATCTGATTATGAGTTACCAGGGTGTTAAAGCAATGTACAACCAGTTGATTAGCAACAAACAAAGCAGTTAGAGACCAGCATCATCCTCCTCCACCTGTACACAGCAAGGTCCAAAACACATTATGTCAGGATTTGAAGAACACAGCAAACTAAATCCTTATTTTTGAAGAACACAGCAAACTAAATCCTTATTTGAAAACTCTATCTTCTTTTTTTTAATTTACACAGCAAACTAAATTCTTAAGAACACAGGAAAGATGACATGAAGGAAAATATTTTGAAGCATTTTCAAATGGAACTTTTTCCATTTACCTAAACTCTTTTTATATTACTTGGTTTCGGTTTTGATGATTTGCTAGCAGTATCAGACACTACCATCCAATCAAAATTCACTTCTAATTGGGGATTTTTAATATAAATGGAGACATTAATAGACTTTTCAAGGGGCACCTACTGCAGCTGGCCCAAAATAATAGCAAATAAGGTCTGGTTCCATTTAGCAAGTGATTCAGCAACTTCAAAGATAAAAAGTGCATAAGCAAAAACATGTTTAAATGCAGGAGATGGAGCAAAATCAAGTGAAATGGCCTAAGGTTTCATGCACCCTATTAGTTAGTATTTCAGTACAAGATCATCAGACTAGGAAGGTTGATTCACTAGTGACCTGCCACATGACTGTGAAAACAGTGTAATCCTAAATCCACGCCAAACAAAATCCCAATTACGAACTAACTGAAGTCAGTTCCAGTACACCAACAGGTACCCTTCCAGGAGGTGGCATCCAGGGGTAGGCGCCAGGGAGCTAGGCGGCGTCTGGGCGGCCGCCTAGGCGGCCTAGGCGGCTCTAGGCGGCTGTAGGCGGCACTAGGCGGCCCTAGGTAGCTCTAGGCGGGCCTAGGCGTCCCTAGGCGGCTCTAGGCGGGCCTAGGCTTCCCTAGGCGGCTCTAGGCGGGCCTAGGCGGGCCTAGGCGTCCCTTGGCGGCTCTAGGAAGGTCTAGGCGGCCCTAGGCGGCTCTAGGCGGCCTGGGCGGCTCTAGGAGGGTCTGGGTGGCCGTTTTAGCCGTTGAGACGTGGACGAAGGGCGGTTGAAGTGCGCAGGATCCGCTGTTGTTAGGAAGAAGAGAGAGAGAGAGAGAGAGAGAGAGAGAGATCGAGACAGAGAGAGGAAGGAGAAGGCGGCGCTGGGAAGAAGAAGATATCTGACCTAATGTTTATATTTGAAACGTATAGCCGTTCGGCTATACTATTAATTTGATTTGAAGACAAAAAACACGGAGTATAAAGGCGCGGCCATAGTGTTTTTATATATTACATTTGAACAGTATAGCCACCCGGCTGTACTATTCATTGGAATAAAATTCTTTTAAAACGGATTACTCTTTTAATATGAGTTATCAGGAAGAGGGCGAATGCCAATGGTGAATGGATCAAGAAGGTGGTGGGTGACCTTGATCACTGCATATACAAATATGTCATTACCTATGCACAGGTAATATAATCTACGGATGAGTGAATAAATATGTATTTATTTCCACTAGTTGGCATTCATTAACTAAACCAACAGCCAGATTTACAATTCGTTTTGTTTTGTATTTGCTTTTTCATATTAGTTGTATTGTATCTTCAGACTTCACTAGTTTAGAGGCCAAAGACAGTGAAAAAGTCAACTAACAGGTCTATGCTCCCTTCAGCAAACAGAATTTTGTGGCTTTTTTACATGGACTAGGAGTTTCACCTTATTTTTGGTGATTGCCATTGATGACGTCAAGAAAACGGATCCATAATTACATGGATGAGTTTATTCTTTGGAATGGATGATGAACTTCATAGATCAAGTAAGAGGAGAGAAATTTGATAGGTGAAGAGAGAGAAGATAATAGATCACTAGAACATGTAATTTTGTCACACTGGTTTTAGATTTGATGATGCCGAAAAGAAACGAAGAAATGGAGGCCCAAAACATAAAATCAACAGAAAAACGAAAAACAAAACAGTGCAAATGCCTTAAAGAATCAGTGCTTCATAAAGTCCACATTTATCCTTGCGGAGCAGTGTAGATGAGCAAGTTTACTTCAGCCACACGATCGATTCTCCTTGTTCATTTTTGTATCAAGGAAAGTGAAAAAGGAAGATTGGGATAGCAGATTGGTTTCCTTGGACTTGTTGGGTCGTTTTTACCATATCTTGCGGTATAATATTTGTTACCAATAAGATCAGAGGGCCAAAGTTGAAATAATCCAATGTACGCCAATACAGTCAATGTCAATCCACAAACTAAAATGAACCTCCAAAAGCTCAATTTCTTTAGAGGACCAAAGCTGAAACCTTCATGCACTTTATTACCAAGGAAAACATTTGTAAGAGCGGTTTTTGACTCCAACGATGCCTTCACCAACTTAAAGCCGTAAGAATCAAAAGCACAAACAAAATATGTACTATCAGAAATATGGCGCTTGCAATTTACACAGAGGTAGAACCGTTTAGGCGCATTCGAGTCATTGTTGGCTGGCAATTGAAGGATGTTAGCGCCAGAAGTTGTTGTCTTTTTCAGCAGGGAGTCTTTGTTAAGATTGGGTTGCATGTATGTGTCACTGAGATTTTCGAGGCTCTCGTAAAGTTTGCCTAAGCAACCAACCATGCCACCATTAGAGATAAGGAGCCTAGTCACAGTTCCAAAATTCAAGGACAGAAGAGTATCGAGAAAATCCACAACTTCCTTGCTTGCTTCAGCAAACAGAACTTTGTTGCTTTCTGTGTCAATCAGGAGCTTCAAACTCACAGTATGTAGCGCTGTGGGTGGTAGCGATTCAGGCAATATTGAGGACAGAGGAGAAGGGCAGCATATGCATAAGCGTTTATAAAAAGACCCATTTATAGGCTTAGAAAGAAGTCCTAAATTCAAAAAAATTCAAAAATGGAATGGTGAATGGATCATGAAGTGGGAGGGTCACCTCGGACCCTGCATCAGTCAACCACAAAGCCAACTCTACAGGTACAAATCTGTCATTACCTATATGTAGGGAATATAGTTTACAGATGAGTGAATAAATGTGTCTTTATTACCAATATAACATTTCCATCAACTAAGCTACATTTCCAATTTCTTTTTGTGAAGCAATATACATCTTGTGGGACTATAGTTCCTCTGCAGCGTGGACAAATAGCTTAGGGTTGTCTAAGACATACCAGCAACTGGTTGCACAACAGAACTGTTTGGCGGGCCTTTGGATCATCGGTGTGGTCAAAATCCGAAGGACATTAGCTCCAGCAGAAAGTGTCGTAGGTTTCAGCAAGGCCTCGTCCTTGTTAGTAGCAGGTTGTAGTATGTGCCACTGAGATTTTCAATGCTCTTGTAAGGTTTGACTAAGCTTCCACCCATGTCATCCTTGTTAGAGACGAGTTTAGTGGCAATGCCTAGAGGCAAAAGACAAGACTAAAAAGCAAATCCACAAAAGTGCTTTCCCCCTTCAGCAAACAGAACTTTGTGGCCTTTTTACACGTACTTAATTTTGGCAATTGCCATTGATGCCGTCAAGAAGACTGATCAATAATTTTATTTGAAAAGCCTGAAGTGAACTGGTCGTGAATACCGGTTGATGGATAATATATTTACCCCACAACTAGGATTGTTGTTTTTATCTCATTAATTATCATCCTCTGCTTCAGGATTTATCTTCAATAATTACATGATTAATAGATCATTATAAGGCTGCTTTTGAAGATGAGAATTCCTTATTTCACAAATGATAATCTGTATAGAAGAGAACCGCTAGCTGGGTTATAAGATTTATTTCATTCATATGACTGGGATTTAGATCTTGGACTGACTAAACATGGATCTTTATAGCTCAATTTAATTATAAATTGTATTGATCAAATCCATTCAAGTATCCTAAACCAGACAAAACTGATTAATCACATATTCTCCCTGATTTAGATGAGAGTGCTCAATGGAATCAAACTGTTACAACTTACAACCATTTTCACTTATCATTCTTTTTAAGTTGGGAATGCTATTGAAATCAAAGCCTGCGTACATCGTGAGAGAGAGAGAGAGAGAGAGAGAGAGAGAGAGAGAGAGAGAGCATTAAGAATGGAACGTTTAATATAAATTGCTTGGCCTGAAAAGGCATTCAGGAATTGGTCCTTGTATTAGTGAATATACAAGAAAAATCTGATTATGAGTTACCAGGGTGTTACAGCGCTGTACAACCAGTTGATTAGCAACAAACAAGGCAGTTAGAGACCAGCATCATCCTCCTCCTGTACACAGCAAAGTCCAAAACACATTATGTCAGGATTTGAAGAACACAGCAAAGTAAGGACTTATCAGGAAAATAAAGGTCAACAATCCTGATTGGAAGGTGACATCAACGAAAATATTATGAAGCATTTTCAAATGGAACTTTTTCCAAGACAACGTTAGCATTTCTCAATTCATTTACCTCAACTCTTTTTATATTACCTGGTTTCGGTTTTGATGATTTGCTAGCAGTATCAGACACTACCATCCAATCAAAATTCACTTCTAATTGGGGATTTTTAATACAAATGGAGACATTAATAGACTTTTCAAGGGGCACCTACTGCAGGTGGCCCAAAATAATGGCAAATAAGGTCTGGTTCCATATAGCAAGTGATTCAGCAACTTCAAAGATAAAAAGTGCATAAGCAAAAACATGTTTAAATGCAGGAGATGGAGCAAAATCAAGTGAAATGGCCTAAGGTTGCATGCACCCTATTAGTTAGTATTTCAGTACAAGATCATCAGACTAGGAAGGTTGATTCACTAGTGACCTGCCACATGACTGTGAAAACACAAAAGCTCATTATCTTTCAATTTCGAACCAACTTAAGTCAGTTCCGGTACACCAAGAGGTACCCTTCGAGGATGTGGCATCCAGGGAGCTAGGCGGCGTCTGGGCGCCCGCCTAGGCGGTTCTAGGCGGCCCTAGGAGGGTCTAGGCGGCTCTAGGCGTCCCTATTCGGATCTAGGGGGCCCTTGGTGGCTCTAGGCACTCAAGGAAGGTTTAGGGGTCCCTATGCGGATCTAGGCGGTCCTTGGTGGCTCTAGGCACTCAAGGAAGGTCTTGGCGGCCCTAGGCGGCTCTAGGCGGCCCTAGGCGGGTCTGGGCTGGCGTTTTGCCGTCGAGGCGTGAACGAAGGGCGATGGAAGTGCGCAGGATCCGCTGCTTGTTAGGAAGAAAGACGGAGAGATGGAGAGAGAGATCGAGACAGAGAGAGGAAGGAGAAGGCGACGCTGGGAAGAAGAAGATATCTGACCTAATTTTTATATTTGAAAAGTATAGCCGCTCGGCTAGACTATTAATTTGAAAAAAAAAACCAGAGTATAAAGGCGTGGCCATACTATTTTTATATTTTATATTTAACCAGTATAGCCGACCGACTATACTATTAATTTCAGGAAAAAAAATTGAAAAATGGAGTATAACCGCTAGGCTGTACTCTTTTAATATGGGTTTAGATATTTCGAGCAAGAACTGTATCAGATGCACCACCTTTTGACCCCAGCAATATTGTGTCATTGCAAACACATTTCTGCAGCCACTTTCTTTTATTCTATTCTTTCACTTCATTTTCTTCTATGTTTATTGATGGGATTCAAATTATGGCAGCTCATGTTTAGCAAGTTTAAACTTCCTTTGAAATGGGGTCTGCAGATTTTTCTTCCTTCTCTTCTTCCCTCTATAAATTAAATTGGCTTTGGTTCTGCTGAGCCACAGGCTGTTTCTGGGTTCTGCAGATTGTCCTTCTTTGACTGTAAGTTGCTATCTGATATCTTTATTACATTTTTTTTTATGATGAGTTACTTTGGCATCTTTAGTTTTGTCAGTTTATCGATTTTTTTATTTCTTTTTTATGTTATCCCACATAAGGAATAAGGCTATGGGGGTTTGAAGTTTCAATTTGGCATCTTTAGTTTTGTCAGTTATGATTCAGACCTTGTGCTTAAAGATCTAATATAGGTCCTTGTATAGTCTGGGATTCTACTCATCAATGGATGACATTTTCACCCGTCTATTGACACTGGCTAGTTATATAAGGCGTCGATTTATTCAATTTATAGGTGAGGTTCTTTCTACTATTCTTACATGTATGCACACTCATGCATCTTCTTATAATGTTATGGATGGATTTGGAAATGATGTTATTGCAGAGGATCTTGCGGTCAGAGATGCTGATAGATACTCGGATGATTTGCTGGTCATTTCTGCTGGACAGCATTTAAGATCATTGAGAAACGGCATTTGTAAATCATTTGCTGAAGGTTGTTCATCATCTTCAAAACCTTGTAACCCTGAAACCTGTGAAAGAAGATCCTCAGAGCCTACGGAAGATACAAGATCTGAAATTGTAGAAACCAATTTCAATTATACAGATGTCCCCTTCATTTTTAAAGGGTAGTACCGTTTTTTGCTATTAGCGTTCTTCAATATCAATCTTTGAAGACTTGAGTACGCATTAAAAAACTGAGGTCAGGCAACTAATCTAGTTTTCATGAGAAAACATCATGAGCCCATCTACTTTTAAGTGAACTGAATGATTAATTGTAATATTTAATCTTTTTCACCTCCTTCCCTTAATTACAAGTGTTTATCAGAAGTATGACTTACTGTAACTGTTTTGCATTTCTCAAATCTCAATCAAGTCATCTCCATCGTTAGATTGGTGATGTTGCTTCATCTTGATGTAGGTTGACACTACCATTACACGGTTTACAATTTGCTTGGAGATTGGCAATTTCTTGTTGGAGAAGTTCTGTCGTGTACGTTGGATGTGCTCATCTTCGAATTTGTAGGTAAAAGAAGTATATTTCAATTATGCAAACTGATGGACTCGTATTCCATAGAGTCAATGAATAGTTTCTTTTAGTTTTAGTTCAGATTGGATTCTGTTTTACTCAGTGCAAATAATTCATTGCTTTTAATTACAAGTCGTTGTTTCATTCTTTTAGGTGCTTATAGTTGAGCTTCATTTTTGCATTTGTCAGCCTGGCATCTCGAGTACAGAAAACATTGCAAAGTTCATCTGACAATATTGGATGGTTGCCGGGCACTCCTGGCATGCCTGGTGTGGAGGATGGTACAGCACTTTAATTATAAGTTGTATTGATCAAATCCATTCACGCATCCTAAACCAGACAAAACTGATTAATCAAATATTCTCCCTGATTTAGATGAGAGTGCTCAATGGAATCAAATTGTTACAACTTACAACCATTTTCACTTATCATTCTTTTTAAGTTGGGAATGCTGTTGAAATCTAAGCCCGTGTACATCGTGAGAGAGAGAGAGAGAGAGAGAGAGCATTAAGAATGGAACGTTTAATATAAATTGCTTGGCCTGAAAAGGCATTCAGGAAATTAGTCCTTGTATTAGTGAATATACAAATTATGAGTTACCAGGGTGTTACAGCACTGTACAACCAGTTGATTAGCAACAAACAAAGCAGTTAGAGACCAGCATCATCCTCCTCCACCTAAACTTTTTCCATTTACCTAAACTCTTTTTATATTACTTGGTTTCGGTTTTGATGATTTGCTAGCAGTATCAGACACTACCATCCAATCAAAATTCACTTCTAATTGGGGATTTTTAATATAAATGGAGACATTAATAGACTTTTCAAGGGGCACCAACTGCAGCTGGCCCAAAATAATAGCAAATAAGGTCTGGTTCCATATAGCAAGTGATTCAGCAACTTCAAAGATAAAAAGTGCATAAGCAAAAACATGTTTAAATGCAGGAGATGGAGCAAAATCAAGTGAAATGGCCTAAGGTTGCATGCACCCTATTAGTTAGTATTTCAGTACAAGATCATCAGACTAGGAAGGTTGATTCACTAGTGACCTGCCACATGACTGTGAAAACAGTGTAATCCTAATTCCACGCCAAACAAAATCCCAATTTCGAACTAACTGAAGTCAGTTCCAGTACACCAACAGGTACCCTTCCAGGAGGTGGCATCCCGGAGTAGGCGCCAGGGAGCTAGGCGGCCTAGGCGGCACTAGGCGGCTCTAGGCGGGCCTAGGCGTCCCTTGGCGGCTCTAGGCGGCTCTAGGAAGGTCTAGGCGGCCCTAGGCGGCTCTAGGCGGCCTGGGCGGCTCTAGGAGGGTCTGGGTGGCCGTTTTGCCGTTGAGACGTGGACGAAGGGCGGTTGAAGTGCGCAGGATCCGCTGTTGTTAGGAAGAAAGAGAGAGAGAGAAAGAGAGAGAGAGAGAGATCGAGACAGAGAGAGGAAGGAGAAGGCGGCGTTGGGAAGAAGAAGATATCCGACCTAATTTTTATATTTGAAACGTATAGCCGAACGGCTATACTATTAATTTGATTCGAAGACAAAAAAGACGGAGTATAAAGGCGCGGCCATAGTATTATATTTGAACAGTATAGCCGCCCGGCTGTACTATTGATTGGAATAAAATTCTTTTAAACGGATTACTCTTTTAATATGAGTTATCAGGAAGAGGGCGAATGCCAATGGTGAATGGATCAAGAAGGTGGAGGGTGACCTTGGACACTGCATAGTCAGTCAACCACAAAGCAACTCTACATATACAAATCTGTCATTACCTATGCACAGGTAATATAATCTACGGATGAGTGAATAAATATGTATTTATTTCCACTAGTTGGCATTCATTAACTAAACCAACAGCCAAATTTACAATTCGTTTTGTTTTGTATTTGATTTTTCATATTAGTTGTATTGTATCTTCAGACTTACTAGTTTAGAGGCCAAAGACAGTGAAAAAGTCAACTAACATGTCTATGCTCCCTTCAGCAAACAGAATTTTGTGGCTTTTTTACATGGACTAGGAGTTTCACCTTATTTTTGGTGATTGCCATTGATGACGTCAAGAAAACTGATCCATAATTACATGGATGAGTTTATTCTTTGGAATGGATGATGAACTTCATAGATCAAGTAAGAGGAGAGAAATTTGATAGGTGAAGAGAGAAGAGATAATAGATCACGAGAACATGTAATTTTGTCACACTGGTTTTAGATTTGATGATGCCGAAAAGAAACGAAGAAATGGAGGCCCAAAACATAAAATCAACACAAAAACGAAAAACAAAACAGTGCAAATGCCTTAAAGAATCAGTGCTTCATAAAGTCCACATTTATCCTTGCGGAGCAGTGTAGATGTGCAAGTTTACTTCAGGCACAGGATCGATTCTCCTTGTTCATTTTTGTATCAAGGAAAGTGAAAAAGGAAGATTGGGATAGCAGATTGGTTTCCTTGGACTTGTTGGGTCGTTTTTACCATATCTTGCGGTATAATATTTGTTACCAATAAGATCAGAGGGCCAAAGTTGAAATAATACAATGTACGCCAATACAGTCAATGTCAATCCACAAACTAAAATGAACCTCCAAAAGCTCAATTTCTTTAGAGGACCAAAGCTGAAACCTTCATGCACTTTATACCAAGGAAAACATTTGTAAGAGCGGTTTTTGACTCCAACGATGCCTTCACCAACTTCAAGCCCTAAGAAGCAAAAGCACAAACGAAATATGTACTATCAGAAATATGGCGCTTGCAATTTACACAGAGGTAGAACCGTTTAGGCACATTTCGAGTCATTGTTGGCTGGCAATTGAAGGATGTTAGCGCCAGAAGTTGTTGTCTTTTTCAGCAGGGAGTCTTTGTTAAGATTGGGTTGCATGTATGTGTCACTGAGATTTTAGAAAGAAGTCCTAAATTCAGGCAACATTGAGGACAGAGGAGAAGGGCAGCATATGCATAAGCGTTTATAAAAAGACCCATTTATAGGCTTAGAAAGAAGTCCTAAATTCAAAAAAATTAAAAAATGGAATGGTGATGGATCATGAAGTGGGAGGGTCACCTCGGACCCTGCATCATTCAACCACGAAGCCAACTCTGCAGGTACAAATCTGTCATTACCTATATGTAGGGAATATAGTTTACAGATGAGTGAATAAATGTGTCTTTATTACCAATATAACATTTCCATCAACTAATCTACATTTCCAATTTCTTTTTGTGAAGCAATATACATCTTGTGAGACTATAGTTCCTCTGCAGCGTGGACAAATAGCTTAGGGTTGTCTGAGACATACCAGCAACTGGTTGCACAACAGAACTGTTCGGCGGGCCTTTGGATCATCGGTGTGGTCAAAATCCGAAGGACATTAGCTCCAGCAGAAAGTGTCGTAGGTTTCAGCAAGGCCTCGTCCTTGTTAGTAGCAGGTTGTAGTATGTGTCACTGAGATTTTCAATGCTCTTGTAAGGTTTGACTAAGCTTCCACCCATGTCATCCTTGTTAGAGACGAGTTTAGTGGCAATGCCTAGAGGCAAAAGACAAGACTAAAAAGCAAATCCACAAAAGTGCTTTCCCCCTTCAGCAAACAGAACTTTGTGGCCTTTTTACACGTACTTAATTTTGGCAATTGCCATTGATGCCGTCAAGAAGACTGATCAATAATTTTATTTGAAAAGCCTGAAGTGAACTGGTCGTGAAAACCGGTTGATGGATAATATATTTACCCCACAACTAGGATTGTTGTTTTTTTCTAATCAATTATCATCCTCTGCTTCAGGATTTATCTTCAATAATTACATGATTAATAGATCATTATAAGGCTGCTTTTGAAGATGAGAATTCCTTATTTCACAAATGATAATCTGTATAGAAGAGAACCGCTAGCTGGGTTATAAGATTTATTTCATTCATATGACTGGGATTTAGATCTTGGACTGACTAAACATGGATCTTTATAGCTCAATTTAATTATAAATTGTATTGATCAAATCCATTCAAGTATCCTAAACCAGACAAAACTGATTAATCACATATTCTCCCTGATTTAGATGAGAGTGCTCAATGGAATCAAACTGTTACAACTTACAACCATTTTCACTTATCATTCTTTTTAAGTTGGGAATGCTATTGAAATCAAAGCCTGCGTACATCGTGAGAGAGAGAGAGAGAGAGAGAGAGCATTAAGAATGGAACGTTTAATATAATTGCTTGGCCTGAAAAGGCATTCAGGAATTGGTCCTTGTATTAGTGAATATACAAGAAAAATCTGATTATGAGTTACCAGGGTGTTACAGCGCTGTACAACCAGTTGATTAGCAACAAACAAGGCAGTTAGAGACCAGCATCATCCTCCTCCTGTACACAGCAAAGTCCAAAACACATTATGTCAGGATTTGAAGAACACAGCAAAGTAAGGACTTATCAGGAAAATAAAGGTCAACAATCCTGATTGGAAGGTGACATCAACGAAAATATTATGAAGCATTTTCAAATGGAACTTTTTCCAAGACAACGTTAGCATTTCTCAATTCATTTACCTCAACTCTTTTTATATTACCTGGTTTCGGTTTTGATGATTTGCTAGCACGGGCTGTCGTTTGCACGCGAGGAAGACAGAGTTCCTTTATTTGAAAAATCTGATTCCGGACGACGTCGTTTGCACGGGCTGTGTTGTTTCGTTTCCCTTTAGTTAAGCTGTGCGTTTTAGTTTTAAGTTTGAACATTAGACATGCACCGTTTTGTTCAAAAGAAACCAGCTTACCCATTTATTCCTTCCCTCTCCCAAAAGCCAAAGTTCCTAACAATGTTTTCATAGGCGAGGCGTATAGGCGAGGCGTTTTTAGTAGCGCTATGCGAGGCGTAAGCCTTGAGGCATTGAGGCGTAAGCCTTTTGAACATTAAGTTATTTTAATAAGAAAAATTTATGAATAATACAATACGATTAAATTGTACAACTAATTCTTATTCAACTATAACAATCTTTTAAATATAATCAAATATAAGTACTAATTGTCATTCAAAACATAATAATCAATCCCAAAACATAAAATATTTATTCAACATCAAAACAAAAACATAATTCACTCATCCCACTCCTCAACACTAATATTATTCAAACTAGCATCACTGTCATATTGATCAACTGTATCAATATGAAAAGGATATTTCCCACTATCAAATGTTGAAGGATCTTTGATCACAAAATGCGCATCTCAAATATTTTTCCCCCTCTATTTCTTTTGCATACTTCCACGCAGGATCTTTTCGATTCATATCTATAAAACAATACAATTAATATTTCTAAGATACAAGTGTGATGCATATACGTAAGAAAAAAATAACTAGTATATTTAAAACATATTGAAAAAAAATTATACGAAACTTCAAATTATAGTTTATTACAGTCAAATTATACAAGTATGATACATGTACGTAAAAAAAAAAGACTTACTTGCAATCGAAAGATGAAGAGAATTCTTGAAAATTGATGGAGTTATCTGGTAAGGATAGAAATTAGGGTTGTACACGTACTATACAATATATATATATATATATAGTCCATGTGTTAATATATTTAGAAAAACAGCAGTTAGGAAAGAAAAAGAAAGATATTAAAGATATTAATTCTTGAAAAAAGCTACAATTGGGGTTAGGAAAGAAAAAGAAATATATTAAATATATTAATTCTTCCCTATTACAATTAAGGTAAGGAAAACAAAAAGCTGAAACTTTCAGTTTTTTTTTTTTAAACACAGTCCAAGTGAAACGACGTCGTTTCACTATAAGATTGTTTTTAAAACTCTGCAACCAAAACGACGTCGTTTCATTACAAAAAAAAAAAAAAAAAAAAAAGTCGTCTTCCTCCCGAGTTCATCTTCCTCAACGAAAATTTGCAGACTTTCAATTTCTTCCGTTTCAGAAGATTCCAGATCTGCAACGCCTCCTCACGCCTCGCTCTGCCTGGACACGCCTTGCAACGCCTCCTCACGCCTTCCCGGCGCTAAACGTGCAGATCGCGAAACAGCCGGACGCCTCGGGCGTTTTCCTCCCGCCTCGCGCCGACGCGCGCTCCGACGCGCGCGAAGGCATGCCTTTGAAAACACTGGTTCCTAAACAGACCAACATAAACTGCCTCCCACCTTCCACCATCAGTTCAGTCCACCTCCATAATCTACTCTTTTATCTATTCGAACTAGGTAGAAAGGCACTAGACTTAGAGAGATAATATAACCAAAAGGATATATGGTAAAGAATTGAGCAATAGTAAGAGAAATTTTGAAAAAACAAGTTTGATGGTTAATATATACTCTAGAGTGGCATTCAATACATTCAATAGCTGTTTTATATTTTTGTAATTATAATAACTCAATACCCGAAAGGCTTACGCCTCAACGCTTTGAGGCTTACGCCTCGCCTCATAAGGCATAAAACGCCTCACCCTAGCGCCTCGCCTTTCAAAACATTGGCTAGCAGTATCAGACACTACCATCCAATCAAAATTCACTTCTAATTGGGGATTTTTAATACAAATGGAGACATTAATAGACTTTTCAAGGGGCACCTACTGCAGGTGGCCCAAAATAATGGCAAATAAGGTCTGGTTCCATATAGCAAGTGATTCAGCAACTTCAAAGATAAAAGTGCATAAGCAAAAACATGTTTAAATGCAGGAGATGGAGCAAAATCAAGTGAAATGGCCTAAGGTTGCATGCACCCTATTAGTTAGTATTTCAGTACAAGATCATCAGACTAGGAAGGTTGATTCACTAGTGACCTGCCACAATGCTGTGAAAACAGTGTAATCCTAATTCCACGTGAACCAAAAGCTCATTATCTTTCAATTTCGAACCAACTTAAGTCAGTTCCGGTACACCAAGAGGTACCCTTCTAGGATGTGGCATCCAGGGGTAGGCGCCAGGGAGCTAGGCGGCGTCTGGGCCCCCGCCTAGGCGGCTCTAGGCGGCTGTAGGAGGCCTAGGCGGCCCTAGGCTGCTCTAGGCGCCCCTTGGCACTCAAGGAAGGTCTAGGCGGCTCTATTAGGGTTTGGGCTGGCATTTTGCGATTGAGGCATGGACGAAGGGCGGTTGAAGTGCGCAGGATCCGCTGCTTGTTAGGAAGAGAGAGAGAGAGAAGGCAACGCTGGGAAGAAGAAGATATCTGACTTAATTTTTATATTTGAAAAGTATAGCCGCTCGGCTAGACTATTAATTTGACCCCAAAAAAAAACTGCATAGAGTCGTGGCCATACTATTTTTATATATTATATTTAACCAGTATAGCCGCCCGGTTATACTATTCATTGGAATAAAATTTTTTTAAAATGGATTATCGCCACCTGGCTATACTATTAATTTCATGAAAAAAAGAAAGAAAAAAGGAGTATAACCGCTCGGATGTACTCTTTTAATATGGGTTTAGATATGAAATTATGAAGATCAATTAATTTGATATGGGTTTAATAGTCGGTATAGATATGCAATTATGAAGATCAATTAATTTGATGTTGTTCGAGAATTGCTGTTCCAAGTGATGACAATATTGCTTTTTTAAGTGAAAATACCTCATTGCTTTTTCAAGAGAGAAGAAGAAAGCAGACGAATCTAATCTCTTTGACGTCCAATACGTACCAAATCCAATTCATTCAGCCAATTAATATTGTAAAACAAAGGATACGTAATCCATATTAAAAAAAAACATTCCAAAAGAAGCTTCAAAATGTCAACTTGAAATGCTGCTTAAAGGAACACATTCGTCATAACTGCATTTGACTGCAACAATACCCTTCAACAATTTCAAACCCTAACAAGGTAATTAAACAAAATGCTCTTCATCATAAATTCTTATAGAATATCAAGTGCAATATTTGAATATATAGAATGGTAATTTATCACGTTAGAAAAAATTAATAAACACAAACCTTATCCTTATCTAGAGAAACCACAATCTCTTCAAGTGAACGAACATCCCTAACATCGAAGTTTTTAAACAGAGCGATACTTGAAATGGCAGACATAGGCTTCACTTCCATATCATTTTTTTATCATGTAAGTCACAGCCTCTCTCACAAACCCACCTCCCTTGCCGCCGGTTGCAATTGCCCGCAGAGCAACATAAGTCGTGGGGGTTTGGAAATGAAGTTATGGAACTTTGGACAAATGGCCTTAGGGTCGTCAACCACATATCATACTTCGCCATAGTAGGAGTAGCTTGACGGCTAACATGACTGACACGTGTACAACTTTTTACCATTTGATTCACCGTTGGTCAATGCAGGAAGAAGTTGATGGGCGCCACCAATTGGCATTGTCAGCTTCTTAGGTTTTAGAAGGACATCCTTGTTGAGGTTGGGTTGCAAGTATGCGTTATTTAGGTTCTCTAAGCTGCCGTAGAGTTTGCCTAAACAACCGACCATGCGTTTCCTAGAGAGGAGCCCGATCACAGTGCCGACGGGTAGAGATAGAAGGGTGAAGAGAAAGTGAACAAAATCCTTGCCAGCTTCGGTGAGGAGAACTTTTTTTATTCTTTTTGTTGATGAGGAGCTTCAAACTAACTGGAGAAATAGAGATTGATTTGGTTTTGGGTTTAGATTTGGAGGGGGCCATTGAGGCAAAGTGAGTGAGATGCGTGTGTGTGTGTGTGTGTGGTGTGTATATATATATATATATATGGTAGGCAAAGTACTATAAACTTTATATTAACATTAATCGAACACGTTAATTATAGATTAAATCTAAACAGGAAATGATTTATGCAGATAGAAGTGAAGAAAATTACATATATTATGACATGCAAGTGAACCTAAGTTGCCCGATTATATGGTAAAGTAAAATTGACAAGCCAAAATTTTGTATATAGAAAAATGGGAAATGTGGAGGGAATATTTCAGACCTCATCCATGCCAAGATCAACCACCTTCTCCTCAAGAGCACCAACCTCCTTCACATTGAACGTTCAGCATGGCAATATTTGAAACAAAGAGGAGGAATATTTTATGTCGTATTAACCTTTTTCTCGTGAACTTAAGCAGAAGAAAAATATTTTTCTCATGAAACTAAAATGTACACAAATGTTGGATGAAAAACCGTAGCATGTCTAGTTCCCAACTATACGTTTAAATTAGTTTTCCCAACATAAATGTTACTGCATCTGTCTCTTGAGAATGCAATGCATTTTCGCAACACCCAATGCACCTTTTACATTATATAAAAAAATTGTATTGTACATAAACATGAAAATATTGCAGGAAACTAAAACATCATTCCTCAGAATGTGGATGACTATATATGTAAATCGATGAAAATTAATTTTCCTTTTGGAAGAAAAAATATTAGTTTTTCAGTCAAAAAACAAACAATAGTAATATTGTAAGCCTTGTATTGGAGGATTTTCTAATTTCGGTTGTTTGGAATCCTATGAAAAAAGGATTCATTACTGTGCCACAAAGGTATGATGTATCACTTCGTGTTTGAGGGCAACATGCTCAATGAGGAGTGGTCAATCAATGACCACGGCCTATGGAACCAGAGTACAATTTTTCTCATAGACGAGGACACATTTTTTCCGCCAGAAGAAGAATAACGAAAATAAAAAGACCCAAATGTTGTGAGATGACTAAATGGTCAGTAAATACTGTGAAGAGATAGAGAAAGAAGTTACCATTTCCATTTTAAAATCTTTGTATTTCATGCACCAATAATGATAAATTGTTTTGTATTTTTTGTTGGGAATTATCTACTAAGTAAGGGAAACTAAACCACTTTCGTTCCAGTTGATTATAACTTTTAGAAAGAAAAATTTTCTTAAAATTTTAATACCTGAGATTAACTAAAGAGATGCAAAAAGCAGATTTCTTATTAACACCTGAGATTAACTAAAGAGTAGAGAAAATAAATGAGTAATCGTGTCTATGAACCACTTTAGAAGAAAAAAGGGATAAAACAGTCTAGACACGAACCAACGAAAGCAACTAAAATCTTTTGCTGAAATCCTCATTGTCTGATCTCGACCTTTTTCCAAGTGGTGCTGCGTTGTCTTCAAAACTTACAACTATAGTTCCATCACTTCTCCAATTATCCTAAATGAGGGGAAATTGCCTCACCTTCAAATGCTACTATAACGAATTCTACTGGGTTAATTCGAGTATTCTAAAACTATAAATATCTAAATCTACAGCTTCCCCTCAATAAATAAATAAACTATGGTGTGACTAGGAGAAGGGGTCACACACAGAAAAGATGCACTCAAAATCCTCATTTCATTGGTAATCATGCACATGGAAATGTCACCTTGGTGTTGATCTAAACGTTGCTCCATAAGTGGTGCTCGACCCAGCACCATTCTCAATCGGAGGGGAAGTGCCCCATCTTCCTTCTGATTCTAATGGCTTAAGTACATGCACTCCACCATCTCTAAGTCCTTTTTCAAAGTCATTGGGTTCAGATGGATGTGCCGCAACAACGAAAGGATACACCCTTAAGCTATTAAGTGTATAGCCGTACGGCTATACTATATTTTTTAAAATTTACATAATACAAAACCCGAGTAAAGCCGGTGGCTTTACTATTTTAAAAAGAAAAAATTTGCCAGAGTATAGCCGCGCAGCCATACTATTTATAGATAAAAAGGGATCGCCTAGCGGCTAGGCGTCCAGGTGTGAAAACACGTATAGCCGAGGGTCTAAATATTTTTTTTTTTTTTTTTTTTTTTTTTTTTATTTTCAAGCAAGAAGGCACCCGACCTACATACGACAAGTTGAGACGATTGTAGCAATCTAACGTAGAATGCCCATAACGTGAACAAACTAATTTGGTATAAATTTTGTTTTTTTTTAAAAGTCCACAAAGTAATTAATTACTATTTATTAAGTAATTTATAAAATGATAAAAATATTTAAATATTTAAATATTTACCAAAGAAATAATACTTAAAAAATTAATTAATTAATTAAGGTAATTAAGAAAGGTTAATATTATTACTTATATTACATAATGAAGTTAAGTTAAAAAAAAAAAAAAAAAAAAAAAAAAAATGAGTTTTAAAAAACTAATTTTTATATGTCAAAAAATTAAAAAAAAAAAAAAAAAAAAAAAAAAAAAAAAAAAAAAAAAAAAAACCTCTCTAGACAAATGTTTGTCGGCACAGGTATATCTCGGCGAAATTTGCTAAATAGGACCTCTCCCTATGAAATTCACCTTTGCCGATGAACGTTCGTCGGGAGAGATCTAATCCTGCAAATTTCGTCGGGATAGACATGTGCCAAAGAGTAGTCATCGGGATAGGTTTAAAAAATTGGCCTAGGCGGCCTGGGCGGGTCAGGGTGGCGCTAGGAGGGTCTCGGCTGCGCTAGGCGGGTCTAGGCGGCTCTAGGCAGGTCTGGGTGCCAAGGTGGGTCTGGTTCTTTAGGGTTTAGGGTCTGTGTGCCAGTGTGGGTCTGTTGCATTTTTCCCAGGTACGTGTACCATTTTCTTCATTGAAGCCGATATTTCGAGCAAGAACTGTGTCAGATGCACCGCCTTTTGACCCCAGCAATATTGTGTCATTGCAGACACATTTCTGCAGCCACTTTCTTTTAGTCTATTTCTTTCACTTCATTTTCTTCTATGTTTATTGATGGGATTCAAAATTATGGCAGCTCATGTTTAGCAAGTTTAAACTTCTTTGGAAATTGGTTCTGCAGATTGTCCTCCTTTGACTGTAAGTTGCTATCTGATATCTTTATTACATTTTGTTTTGATGATGAGTTACTTAAGTTCAGTATGTTGAAAGAATTAATGGGGTTGATTTGTTGTGTTTTTCTCATCATATGTTGAGAAAACATCATGAGCCCATCTACTTTTAAGTGAACTGAATGATTAATTGTAATATTTAATCTTTTTCACCTCCTTCCCTTTCTAATTACAAGTGTTTATCAGAAGTATGACTTACTGTAACTGTTTTGCATTTCTCAAATCTCAATCAAGTCATCTCCATCGTTAGATTGGTGATGTTGCTTCATCTTGATGTAGGTTGACACTACCTTTACACGGTTTACAATTTGCTTGGAGATTGGCAATTTCTTGTTGGAGAAGTTCTGTCGTGTACGTTGGATGTGCTCATCTTCGAATTTGTAGGTAAAAGAAGTATATTTCAATTATGCAAACTGATGGACTCGTATTCCATAGAGTCTATGAATAGTTTCTTTTAGTTTTAGTTCAGATTGGATTCTGTTTTACTCAGTGCAAATAATTCATTGCTTTTAATTACAAGTCATTGTTTCATTCTTTTAATTACAGGCATCTCGAGTACAGAAAACATTGCAAGTTTCATCTGACAATATTGGATGGTTGCCGGGCACTCCTGGCATGCCTGGTGTGGAGGATGGTACAGCACTTTAATTATAAGTTGTATTGATCAAATCCATTCACGCATCCTAAACCAGACAAAACTGATTAATCAAATATTCTCCCTGATTTAGATGAGAGTGCTCAATGGAATCAAATTGTTACAACTTACAACCATTTTCACTTATCATTCTTTTTAAGTTGGGAATGCTGTTGAAATCTAAGGCCGTGTACATCGTGAGAGAGAGAGAGAGAGAGAGAGAGAGAGAGAGAGAGAATTAAGAATGGAACGTTTAATATAAATTGCTTGGCCTGAAAAGGCATTCAGGAAATTAGTCCTTGTATTAGTGAATATACAAAATTACGAGTTACCAGGGTGTTACAGCACTGTACAACCAGTTGATTAGCAACAAACAAAGCAGTTAGAGACCAGCATCATCCTCCTCCACCTGTACACAAAACACATTTTGAAGAACACAGCAAACTAAATCCTTATTTTTGAAGAACACAGCAAACTAAATCCTTATTTTTGAAGAACACAGCAAACTAAATCCTTATTTGAAAACTCTATCTTCTTTTTTTTAATTTACACAGCAAACTAAATTCTTAAGAACACAGGAAAGATGACATGAAGGAAAATATTTTGAAGCATTTTCAAATGGAACTTTTTCCATTTACCTAAACTCTTTTTATATTACTTGGTTTCGGTTTTGATGATTTGCTAGCAGTGTCAAACACTACCATCCAATCAAAATTCACTTCTAATTGGGGATTTTTAATATAAATGGAGACATTAATAGACTTTTCAAGGGGCACCAACTGCAGCTGGCCCAAAATAATAGCAAATAAGGTCTGGGTCCATATAGCAAGTGATTCAGCAACTTCAAAGATAAAAAGTGCATAAGCAAAAACATGTTTAAATGCAGGAGATGGAGCAAAATCAAGTGAAATGGCCTAAGGTTGCATGCACCCTATTAGTTAGTATTTCAGTACAAGATCATCAGACTAGGAAGGTTGATTCACTAGTGACCTGCCATATGACTGCGAAAACAGTGCAATCCTAATTCCACGCCAAACAAAATCCCAATTTCGAACTAACTGAAGTCAGTTCCCAGTACACCAACAGGTACCCTTCCAGAAGGTGGCATCCAGGGGTAGGCGCCAGGGAGCTAGGCGGCTCTAGGCGGGCCTAGGCGTCCCTTGGGGGCTCTAGGCGGCTCTAGGAAGGTCTAGGCGGTCTAGGCGGCTCTAGGCGGCCTGGGCGGCTCTAGGAGGGTCTGGGTGGCCGTTTTGCCGTTGAGACGTGGACGAAGGGCGGTTGAAGTGCGCAGGATCCGCTGTTGTTAGGAAGAGAGAGAGAGAGAGAGAGAGAGAGAGAGAGAGAGAGAGAGAAGGCTGCGCTGGGAAGAAGAAGATATCTGAGGTATAGCCGTTCGGCTATACTATTAATTTGATTTGAAGACAAAAAACACGGAGTATAAGGTGCGGCCATAGTATTCTATATATTAGTATAGCCGCCCGGCCGTACTGTTCATTGGAATAAATTCTTTTAAACGGATTACTCTTTTAATATGAGTTATCAGGAAGAGGGCGAATGCCAATGGTGAATGGATCAAGAAGGTGGAGGGTCACCTTGGACACTGCATAGTCAGTCAACCACAAAGCAACTCTACATATACAAATCTGTCATTACCTATGCACAGGTAATATAATCTACGGATGAGTGAATAAATATGTATTTATTTCCACTAGTTGGCATTCATTAACTAAACCAACAGCCAGATTTACAATTCGTTTTGTTTTGTATTTGCTTTTTCATATTAGTTGTATTGTATCTTCAGACTTAACTAGTTTAGAGGCCAAAGACAGTGAAAAAGTCAACTAACAGGTCTATGCTCCCTTCAGCAAACAGAATTTTGTGGCTTTTTTACATGGACTAGGAGTTTCACCTTATTTTTGGTGATTGCCATTGATGACGTCAAGAAAACTGATCCATAATTACATGGATGAGTTTATTCTTTGGAATGGATGATGAACTTCATAGATCAAGTAAGAGGAGAGAAATTTGATAGGTGAAGAGAGAGAAGATAATAGATCACTAGAACATGTAATTTTGTCACACTGGTTTTAGATTTGATGATGCCGAAAAGAAACGAAGAAATGGAGGCCCAAAACATAAAATCAACAGAAAAACAAAAAACAAAACAGTGCAAATGCCTAAAAGAATCAGTGCTTCATAAAGTCCACATTTATCCTTGCGGAGCAGTGTAGATGAGCAAGTTTACTTCAGCCACACGATCGGTTCTCCTTGTTCATTTTGTATCAACGACAGTGCAAAGGAAGATTGGGATAGCAGATTGGTTTCCTTGGACTTGTTGGGTCGTTTTTACCATATCTTGCGGTATAATATTTGTTACCAATAAGATCAGAGGGCCAAAGTTGAAATAATCCAATGTAAGCCAACACAGTCAATGTCAATCCACAAACTAAAATGAACCTCCAAAAGCTCAATTTCTTTAGAGGACCAAAGCTGAAACCTTCATGCAATTTATTACCAAGGAAAACATTTGTAAGAGCGGTTTTTGACTCCAACGATGCCTTCACCAACTTCAAGCCCTTAGAAGCAAAAGCACAAACAAAATATGTACTATCAGAAATATGGCGCTTGCAATTTACACAGAGGTAGAACCGTTTAGGCGCATTCGAGTCATTGTTGGCTGGCAATTGAAGGATGTTAGCGCCAGAAGTTGTCCTTTTCAGCAGGGAGTCTTTGTTAAGATTGGGTTGCATGTATATGTCACTGAGATTTTCGAGGCTCTCATAAAGTTTGCCTAAGCAACCAACCATGCCACCATTAGAAAGAAGTCCTAAATTCAGGCAATATTGAGGACAGAGGAGAAGGGCAGCATATGCCTAAGCGTTTATAAAAAGACCCATTTATAGGCTTAGAAAGAAGTCCTAAATTCAAAAAAATTAAAAAATGGAATGGTGAATGGATCATGAAGTGGGAGGGTCACCTCGGACCCTGCATCAGTCAACCACAAAGCCAACTCTGCAGGTACAAATCTGTCATTACCTATATGTAGGGAATATAGTTTACAGATGAGTGAATAAATGTGTCTTTATTACCAAGATAACATTTCCATCAACTAATCTACATTTCCAATTTCTTTTTGTGAAGCAATATACATCTTGTGGGACTATAGTTCCTCTGCAGCGTGGACAAATAGCTTAGGGTTGTCTGAGACATACCAGCAACTGGTTGCACAACAGAACTGTTCGGCGGGCCTTTGGATCATCGGTGTGGTCAAAATCCGAAGGACATTAGCTCCAGCAGAAAGTGTCGTAGGTTTCAGCAAGGCCTTGTCCTTGTTAGTAGCAGGTTGTAGTATGTGTCACTGAGATTTTCAATGCTCTTGTAAAGTTTGACTAAGCTTCCACCCATGTCATCCTTGTTAGAGACGAGTTTAGTGGCAATGCCTAGAGGCAAAAGACAAGACTAAAAAGCAAATCCACAAAAGTGCTTTCCCCCCTTCAGCAAACAGAACTTCGTGGCCTTTTTACACGTACTTAATTTTGGAAATTGCCATTGATGCCGTCAAGAAGACTGATCAATAATTTTATTTGAAAAGCCTGAAGTGAACTGGTCGTGAATACCGGTTGATGGATAATATATTTACCCCACAACTAGGATTGTTGTTTTTATCTAATCAATTATCATCCTCTGCTTCAGGATTTATCTTCAATAATTACATGATTAATAGATCATTATAAGGCTGCTTTTGAAGATGAGAATTCCTTATTTCACAAATGATAATCTGTATAGAAGAGAACCGCTAGCTGGGTTATAAGATTTATTTCATTCATATGACTGGGATTTAGATCTTGGACTGACTAAAAATGGATCTTTATAGCTCAATTTAATTATAAATTGTATTGATCAAATCCATTCAAGTATCCTAAACCAGACAAAACTGATTAATCACATATTCTCCCTGATTTAGATGAGAGTGCTCAATGGAATCAAATTGTTACAACTTACAACCATTTTCACTTATCATTCTTTTTAAGTTGGGAATGCTATTGAAATCAAAGCCTGCGTACATCGTGAGTGAGAGAGAGAGAGAGAGAGAGAGAGAGAGAGAGAGAGAGCATTAAGAATGGAACGTTTAATATAAATTGCTTGGCCTGAAAAGGCATTCAGGAATTGGTCCTTGTATTAGTGAATATACAAGAAAAATCTGATTATGAGTTACCAGGGTGTTACAGCACTGTACAACCAGTTGATTAGCAACAAACAAGGCAGTTAGAGACCAGCATCATCCTCCTCCTGTACACAGCAAAGTCCAAAACACATTATGTCAGGATTTGAAGAACACAGCAAAGTAAGGACTTATCAGGAAAATAAAGGTCAACAATCCTGATTGGAAGGTGACATCAACGAAAATATTATGAAGCATTTTCAAATGGAACTTTTTCCAAGACAACGTTAGCATTTCTCAATTCATTTACCTCAACTCTTTTTATATTACCTGGTTTCGGTTTTGATGATTTGCTAGCAGTATCAGACACTACCATCCAATCAAAATTCACTTCTAATTGGGGATTTTTAATACAAATGGGAGACATTAATAGACTTTTCAAGGGGCACCTACTGCAGCTGGCCCAAAATAATGGCAAATAAGGTCTGGTTCCATATAGCAAGTGATTCAGCAACTTCAAAGATAAAAAGTGCATAAGCAAAAACATGTTTAAATGCAGGAGATGGAGCAAAATCAAGTGAAATGGCCTAAGGTTGCATGCACCCTATTAGTTAGTATTTCAGTACAAGATCATCAGACTAGGAAGGTTGATTCACTAGTGACCTGCCACAATGCTGTGAAAACAGTGTAATCCTAATTCAACGTGAACCAAAAGCTCATTATCTTTCAATTTCGAACCAACTTAAGTCAGTTCCCATACACCAAGAGGGAGCTAGGCATCGTCTGGGTGCCCGCCTAGGCGGCTCTAGGAGGCCTAGGTGGCCCTAGGCTGCTCTAGGCGCCCCTTGGCAC